CGGAAAAAAAAAAAAAAAAAAAAAAAAAAAAAAAAAAAAAAAAAAAAACAATCATGTTGGGGGGGGTAGGGCTTCAACACATAAATTTTGGGAGAAACAATTCAGTCCATAGCAAATGGATATGTGAGGATTAAGTGGCAACAAGGCCAATTTTGAATATCTATTCAAGAAAAAAATCATTTAGGGGTTCATGTGCAAGTCACATTTTCTTTAGCTCACAACTCTATAAATATTCTAGGTCAAGTATTTCATTTGTTGCATGATTATTTCCTCTGTTTGAAAACTGGTGAAGAGTCATGGGGGCTTGAGTTGAGTCGGGTGGGAGAAGGGGAGCAGTCTTAGCTGGGAAGAGGGTGGAGCATACTGGAAAGAACATTTGGTACAATATTGCCTCAGTTCCTAGTACAGGAAAATCACTTCATCTCTTTAAGTTTTATCAGTAAAATGAAGGCATTGATAACTACCTCTTTTTTAAGTTTTATTTTATTTTGTAATGACAAATAATAATCATGTATATTTATGGGGTCCAATGTGATGGTTTAATACACGTATACATTGTGGAATGATCAAATCAAGCTAATTAGCATATCCACAACCTAGGATATTTATCCTTTTTTTTTTTTTTTGTAGTGAGAACATTTAAAATCTTCTCTTTTAGCTATTTGGAAATAAACATTATTTTAACTATAGTCACTATGCTGTGCAATACAACACCAGACCTTACTCCTCCTATCTAACTGAAACTTTGTACCTATTGATCAATGTCTCCACTTTCCCTGTCCACTCCCCTGCCACCCCTCAGGCACTTCTGGATATATACCCAAAGGAATTGAAATCAGTATGTTGAAGAGATATCTGCACTCCCATTTTCATTGCATCACTATTCACAATTGCCAAGGTATGGAATCAACTTAAATGTTCATCAATTGATGAATGGATTTAAAAAATGTGGTATATATGCACAACGAAACACTCTTCAGCCTTAGTCATTTGCAGCAAAGTGAATGAACCTAGAGGACATAATAAGGGAAATAAGCAAGACACAGAGAGACACATACTGTACAATCTCACTTATATCTAATCTAAAAATGTCACAAACTCACAGGAGTAGAGAGTAGAATGGTGATTACTTCTTAATGTGTATTTGGAGTTTGAATGACTAAATATACATTTAGTACTTAGCACTGGCATTTGGACGTGTAAGATGTTATAGATATTTCTTTTCCCTCCCCTTGCCCCATCTTTCCTCTCCTAATAAAGTTATGCCTGGTGCCTTGAAGTGCCTTGTAAATATTAGTGAGCATGTTCCCTATTCTAGTGTGGGTCAAAAAACTAAACTCAGTAACTTCATTTCACTCTATTGAAGGACCTGCAGCTCCTTTACATTCAGAACCATCAGAGTGAGGTGTGTTAAATAATTCAAATGGAAACGCTAGTTTCCCCCTTTATGTATCTCCTGGGTTTTTCTTTGCTCACCCAGTCACCTGCAAAAATCATCAAATGTTCAAATTCATAGTCTGTGACTCGGTGACCCTGAATCTCCTGGTGGCCTGGAATGAACATGGAATGCCCTTATTTAGCACTTGGAGCCTTGTCAGATATTAGTTTTCCTGCAATGCAATCCTCTGATGCCAGTGGAGAGAGAAATCAGAAACAGAGATCAGACAATCTGCCCTCCACCTCCCAATACAACGAGTGAGTTACTGACAGAAATAAAGCTGGACGCTGGCTTCTCTCTCCTAAATCCTTTTGTCCAAGTTATTAAAATGTTTTACTTCTTACAGCTATGAAATTGAAGAACACTTTACTGAAATGACAAAGAGTTTAAACCCAAAAGTGTCCCTTGCATCTCCTGCCAGGCAGCGTGAGCCCAAGTAGGGCTGGAGTCAGTTTGCTTATGCTCGTCCACTCTCTAGAGCTCACTTTCCACCCAAGAGTCTGAGTTTTCTGTACAAAGAGCTGCGCCAATCCACTGCAAATCCTTGGATCGCCTGTTTCCTTGTTTATAACTTTTCCATATAGTTGGTTCTGCTCCAATTTATTTGAAAGGGACATCTGTTTGATGGTCTGATGTGACGTCTATGTTCACTGAAAGTCATCTCTGACAGGTCAGTGTGAAAGAACCTGAGAGGGAGTTCAGTCACGTGCTCTTAAGTACAGGAACAGATTTGAGAGGATTATCCGAGACCATGACTTCAAGATCAAACTAGGCCATGGAGTTGCCACAGGCTCTGCAAATTCTTGCAGCTCAGTCTTCTGGGGTCTCCCGTCACCGTGCTTGCCAATGATGAATTCACTTCCATGTGGGATCTTTCAGGTCTTGACACACTCTAAAGCCATATGTGTTTCAGTCCCTCCAGACATTATCCTGCTCTGACTTGAAGAGGAGTCTAAGTAAGTCAGTGAGGTTTTCCATGGCATCAAATCTCTTTTTAAACCCATGTAACCTGAATAATAACTACAATTCTGGATAATTGACTCATGAATATTTCCTGCTAAGGCACAGTGGGGGTAGTCTGAGGACATTAAATCCACACAAGCAATTCCCAAACTTACTTCATGTTCGAATACTCTAACTCCAAATGTTTTTTACCAGACTGGTAACACAGCAAAATCAGCTGATAAGACTGTCCGCTTTTCTTTCTTCCTCTACTTACCACTTCTCTGGTGTGGTGCTCACTGTAGGGAAGTGACAAAAAGTAGATGGCAAGAGAAATAAAAAATCAAAGATCTATGTCCATTATTTATCTCTTCTGGTGATCCTGTTTTGATGGTAGTGTCACTTTTTCTCAGGTCAAGCCAAAGTCAGTCAGAGGGTGAGATTAGAAACCCCAGTAACCACATATACATGATAAATCCATGTGAATAGATGGTCAAGTTACAAATAATTGGCTATGAATATATTCCTTAAAATGGACTTATAGCTTAGCATAGATGTAAGAGCTAGGATACAACTTTTAGTTTTGAGGTAATTGAAGATGTCCAATGTGGCTGGAACATAGACAGTGAGGGGGAAAGGGTGAAAATGGTGATCAAAGGGCAAGCAGAGCCAGATTTGGGGGCAAGGACTTAATCTTAGGTCAGGGGGAAGTCACTGAAGGGTTGTAAGCAGGCTGGAGTTGATCGAGTTTATGTTGAAAGAAGGGAGGAAGGAAGGAAGGGAAGAGAGAGAAAGAGAGACAGGAAGGTCAGTTAGGAGGATTTGGGGAAAACACAGTAAGTTCTAAGATGCGGACAGAACGGTTGGATAGAAGAGGATAGATTTAAGTGACATTGAAGGGGAATTTAGAGGATTTGGTGTTTGGCTATCAAGAGGGAGGGAATTCTTTGTAAAAGACTATGGGCAAGTTACTTAAATTCATAAGCTGCAATTTCGTCATCATTAAAAAATAAGGATAATTACCAAATAAAATAAAATTTTAAAAAAAGGAAAGAAGTAAAAAAAAAAAAAGTAAGGCTAAGAACCACAATCTCATATGGTTTTTGAGATGATTTTAAAAGTAAACATACCTAATGTAATAACTGGAATATCATAATTAGTTAGTAATTATTTGTTTCCCTTACATTCTCTTTAAATTCACTTTCTTCTCGGCTCCCAAGCTGGGGCAGTGAGGGGCCGACAGCCTCCGCCAGGCCCCCTAGACATCTGCAACCAGCCCAGCAATGACCACTGAGCTGCCACTGGAACCTCCCTGGTCTCCCCTGCAGGAATGAGAGGGGTGCCATGGCCTCAACCTCCATTCTACTCCTCCCACTCTATTTCATTCTTCCTTCTCCTCTCCCCCTCCCCCAACTGCTCTGCAACAACATCTTAAAATGTAAAAAAATGATACTAATAAATAAATAACATTAAAGAAAAAAATAAATTCACTTTTTTCCTAACCATTTTTAGATGGAGGGGGAAGCTGGCAGTGAAATTCTTCAGGGCACATGAAATTCTCAGGAAAAGAAGGTCTACACCCTTTGCGAAAGCTCCTTCTGTGACTGCTATATGCCACCGGGGCTGTGCTTTCCTCAAGGGCATGCAAGTGCATTTTCTCTCTTTGTTTCTCTTTCTCTTTCCTTGAGGGCTGCTCCATCATTTAGGTTCAGTTCTTATTGTCCTACTTGCTCCCTTTGAACTTGAAGCTTAACCTTGTTCCTTTTGTTCCACAGTCTGATTCAGTTACTGTATCCAGTCACCTTTTGCTGTGTTTCTAAAGTCTTGGGCTACCCTTCTGTACTTCCCACTGCTTGCAACGGCCTCAACTTTACAGGACTTCCCAGCAACCACAGTCTACAAACAAAATAACTTAGGAGGAGTTAAGACACATACATTAAAATGATTGTAGATAAAATCTGGTGGTCCTTATGGCAAATCACATGACAGGGGCCTGGGGTACCTCCCACCATTTTTCTAGTATCTTTTGAAAGGCTGTTCTCAGATACATCGACTTGAGAATTTAGGGTAGTATTCCTTTGGGAACTGAAGGGAAAAGGAGAGAGAGAGAGCTACAGGGTCATAGAACCATGATAATCCATTGCATTTTGTCAAATGGTCCTTATAACAAAAAAGCAGAGCCCAGGGAGCGAGTGGAGGAGAGCATGGGTCTGGCAACCTGCCCTGAGACAAGGAGCTTTGTCTGCATGCAGGTCCCCAGTTCTCAGACGATCTACATTTGAACAGAGCCCATTGTTTACCACTTGGGTGGAAAACGGGAAATAGGCAACGAGTCAGGCACCCGCTTGTTTCAAAAAGAATTTTTCTAATAGTTTCAGAGAAATATAAGCAGAAATAGGAGTTTGAGAGAAGATGAAGGAGACAAGGACAAAGTGCAGGCTGCTGGATGCTAATGATGTGCTTGTTTTTGCTGACAGCCTGTCACCCTTGGGCTGTGGGATTCAACCTGAACCTGAATCCAACAGGGAAGCTAATTCTGGAGAAGAGCTTTCGCTCTGGGGAGCGATTCTGGTTAGGATTTAATCTGAAGTAATTTGGAGTAATTGATCTTCCTCCTTTCTCCATTCAAAGGACATTCGCTAAAATTTCCTTCTTCATGGGGGCTGAAGAAAGAGACAGGGGATTACCATGTGCATAATATTTAAAGTATAGTAACTGACCAGCAAATGCCACGAGCTTAGAATCTTACACGGGTCCTGTTTTCCGTGACCTGATTTCCTGATCTGCAGATGCTCCGACTGACATTCCAATTCCATGTTCCTATGGCTCGGTGCTTTGTGTAAGACTGGTCTTTCCATTGTGTCATCTTAGTTAATAAAATTGCACGGTAGTGGTGTGAATGCCTCTGTAAGGAAGGAAATGACTTGGTGTCCATGGCAAAGACTCAACTATGTTCTGCTGAAAGCTATAGTTTGCAATCCAAACTTCATATATTTCTTTTTATTTTCAAGTTACTTTTTTTTTTCAAACATAGTTACAAGAAATAAAATTTAGAAATTGCAGGAAAAAATCTCAAAGAAGCAAATAAATCAACCTGTAATCTGACCCCCAGAGATAACTAACATAGCATGCTGCTGTGTATCTTTTAACATACAAAATATTTTTAAACTATGTATAAAATTAATAAAATATTTGTGCATACTGTTTAGTAACCAGGCTTTCTCATTTATAATTTCTATCACAATTTTTATGTCACTGTATATTATATTCTTAACATAATTTTGAAGATAACATTTTTAAATAGTTCTCTATTTTTGAACATTAAGATTAGTTTCAATTTTTCACTATTAAAATGCTTCTTACTGAAATTTTCTAATAAACATTCATTTATTTGTTATTCAATGTATTCCTTGAGTATCTACCATGTTCAAATCACAAAATTAGGCTTTGTTTGTAGGAGTCAAAAAGATAAACTGAGACACGAATAGTCCCTTGTTTCAAGGGACTTACTGAAAAGAGACTAATCTGTCCTAAATAATAGTAACTGTTAAAGAGGTGCCTTTCCTTTTACTTTCTATGGGTTTCATGTCCCTTGGTATTCTCTGTAAGTTTGGTTCATAAAACCAACTCTTGGAGCTGATTTGTTAGATATTTTGTTAACTCATAAGCAAAATATATAAAGCATTCAAAATATTATTGCAATGAGTATGGCTGGTATACTCTTACAACAATACATAGGAACTGCACAGAGAAAAAGCTGAAATTTGACTCCATTATAGTTAAGAAAGTGGTTTCATCATATTTAGCTCAGAAACTCTAGGCCGTACAGTATAATTGAAATTGTGCTTTGACAGCAGGATAGCTGAGTTTCCAATTCAAATGATGGTCATAACCTAACTTCATTGGAGCAATGAAATATTTTAGTGGAATCATTGGCATCTCATTCTGCCTCTCAAATCAGGACCGCCTCTGTTATTACTTGCCCTGTGGGGATGACTGGTTGGGTCATTTGGTTAGCACAGACTCTTCTGAAGTCAAGGCTGTGGGATTGCTGCCATGTGAATCAGTGATTCTCTAACTGCTTCAGGACCACAGGTTGCATTTCTCAGTTCTAAACATTCTTCATAGAAAATCATGTCCTTGTTATAGACAAAAATATAAAATAATGCAGACATATTTGATTAAAAGTATCACAACCATGGATGTGGTTGAGGTAGGCAGAATTTTAAGGCGACTCCCATGACCCCTGCCCCTGGTATTGCTCACATGATTATGTTATAAGGTGAAAGGGGGATTATCCAGGTGAGCCAAACTAACTCTGTGAGCCCTTTAAAAGCAGAGAGTTTTCTCTGTCTGGGAGTGAAAGAGGAAGTCAGAGATATTTCAGGCACATAAAGGACTCAACCCACCATTGCAGGCTTGAAGATGGAGGGGCCACATGGAAAGGGTAAGAAGGAATTAAATTCTGCCAAAAACCAATGAGCTTGGAAGAAGACCCCAAGATCCAGATGAGAACCACAGCTGGCTGACATGTTGAGTGTGAGACCCTAAGCAGAGATAAGCCCACCTGGCATTCTGACCTACAGAACTGTGAGATAATAGATGGGTATTCTTTCAAGCTGCTAGGTTTATAGTGATTTGTTATTCAGCAACAGGAAATTAATGCAGTGGTTATAACACTCAAACTGTATGCCTTACTGATAGTGGGTTGGGGACATCTTTACCATCAACCAAAAGCTCAACATTTTTCAAAAGTTTCAATGAAGTAAGAATAATTTTTATGAAACTCTAAACTAAACCCCCAAATAATAGAAGAACATGGAGTTATCAAAGGGATGAAGCCCATAGTATATGTTTATTTTCTTGATGTTAAAAAAGAGCTTTTCATAATTTATGACAAACTAACACACAATAGTTTAACAAATTTATAATGAAAATATATAAATATATACAGGCTAGTGTTAGGATATAGAGAAGAGTCACAATCCTACCTGGATAGAGCAGGAAAATCTTCTTAGAGGAAGTGACGATTGTTAAAGGAAAGCACGAGGCAACTTAGCCTATATTTACAGACTCAGGGGAAATCAATTTTCCTGGTGCTGTGCATGGAAACAACTGGGGATACAAGCTACTGTGCTGAGCCAAAAAAAGGGGGACGAGGAGATAGAGAGGCAACTTGGG